TCCGCCTCCTCCTCCTCCTCCTCCTCCCACTCCTCCTACTCCGCCTCCTCCTTCCGCCCTGGAAGCGTTTCCTGGCTCCGGGCGCCCGCCCCTGGATTCCCATGGGATTCCAGTCGGAGCCTCAAGCGGAGCCCAATGCGATCCCAGTCTCGTTCCATTCGGGATCCATGAGATTCGTGCGGAAGTCGAGAGCAGTCCCGCGAGACACCCCGGGGGTCCGAGGGAACCCCGAGGAAGCCCAGAGGATTGCTCCAGAAATCGTGAGGAACCCATCGGGATCCTCACGAAGTGCTCGTCAGAGTCTGGGGGAGATCCTGATGATTTCATGCAGATCTGTACGGAATCCTAGGGAATCCATTGCACTTTCATCGAAATCGCGAAAATTCATGACGAATCCTCGGGAGCCATGGGAACCCTCGGGAGCCATGGGAACCCTCGGGAATCCATTGCACTTTCATCGAAATCGCTAAAATCGATGCGAATCTCCAGGGAACCCTCGGGAGCCATGGGGACATCCTGAAGCAAGCGTTAAGACTTGCTTACCCCCAGAATTATTTAATCGCTTCGCTCATTCCGCCGGCCCATACAGTCTCATGTCTGCCGTTTGCCCGAGGGCCTGGTGTCAATGCGGCGCTTTGGGGGTTCTTTTGCCAGGCGTCTCGGGAACCTCTTGGAGGCAGTGTTGAAGCCTCTTGAGTTCCCGTAAGGGCCGTTTGGGGGTCGTTGGGGCTTCTTGTTGGGCTTCTTGGGTGGTTATTGGGGCGTCTTGGGGGACTTATTGGCGGGATGTTGGTGGCTTCTGAGGTGCTCCTAGGGGCAGAATCCCCCTTTGGGCGCCTCTTGGGCGGTCTTGGTGCTCTCTTGTGCCGTCTTGGGGTTATCTTGGGCCGTCTTGGGCCGATTTTAGCGGATTGTTGGGCTGTCTCGGGGCGATGTTGGGGGCTATTTGCATAGTCTGAGGCGCTGTGAAACTCGAAACGCCTTCATGCGGGAAGTGTACATGTTCTCTGGGAATGGGACGATTTTTGATTGTAATGGCCGTCTTGGAGGGCCTCTTGAGGCTCTCTTGAGGCTTCTTGGCGGCCTCGACGGCAATTTCGAGGTCATCTTGGGCGATTTGGAACGATTGTTCGGCGACTTGAGGCCGCTTGGATTGTTTCGGGGGCGTTCCAGTGCCGTTTTGGCGCGCTCCTGGAGCGTTCTGGGGGCATGAGCCGAACGTCGCGCTCTGGGCGGCGTGCAGAAGCCATTGTGTGAGAGGGCGCGGTGGTGAGAAGAACAGCTCACCCCACCCGGCTTTCCGGGCTTTCCGGCGTAAGGAGGGCTTCTTCGCGGCACTTGTGAACGCTCCTGGACAGTGCTTTTTGGGCAGGTTCTTGACGCTTGTTGCAAGTCTGTAGGGGCCCCGTTGGGAGTCTACCGAAAGGAGAGCACATTGTAGCATCGCTTGCACTTGCTTGCGTGCTCAGGGGGGCATTTGGGGGGCCTCCTGGGGCCGCTTGGGGGACTCTTGGGGGCCTCCTGAGGGCCTCGTGGGGGCCTCTTGGGGCCTCTTAGGGGCCTCTTGGGGCCTCGTAGGGGCTTCTTAGGGCCGAGGGCTCGAAATGTTGTTTCGTGTTCCCTCTCTGGGGCCCCTTTGGGGGCGTTCTTGGGGCCCTCTTGGACCGTCTTGGAGGCTTCTTGGGCCGTCTTCGAGCCCTCTTGGGCCATCTTGGGGCCCTCTTGGGGGCCTCTTGGGCCCTCTTGGGGCGATCTTGGGGGCCTCTTGGGCCGTCTTGGGGCGTCGGGAAGCCGAAAAGGTGGAAGCTCCAAAATCTTCAAAAACCTAAGGAAAAGCAATGAATTTTGCCTCCGGGGGCCCTCTTGGGAGTGCTCTTGGAGGCCTCTTGGGGCGTCTGGGGGCTATCTTGGGCGTCTTGGAGCGATCTTGTGGCATGTCGGACCCCTCGTGTACCATCTTGGGGGCCTCTTGGGGGCCTCTTGGCCTTTCTTGGAGCTCTCGGGGACGTCTCGGAACCCTGTTGGTGCGCTCATGGAGCGCTCTGGTGGAGTCGCCCGGGGATCAGCCAGGACTCGCCCGGGGTACGTTTCGTCCGGGGACCCCCAGGGGCCGCCCCGCGCGCGCGAACTAGAGAATTGTTAACCAGTTACCGGAGATCTTAGCACGCCTCTGGCCCGTTGGGCCGCAGAATTATTTGTGGTGTTATTGGTGAGCCTCGGGGGGGTCAAAGTTGTTCCCTTGGTTAATGAGGGGTGCGTTGCAGCACCGTTGATGCATCCTGGGTTTACTCTGGTCCTCTTCCTCCTTTCCCTTCTCCTCCTCGTCCACCTCCTCCTCCTGCTCCTTGGCCTCCTCCTCCGCCCCCTCCTCCTCCCCCTCCCCCTCCTCCTCCTGTCTGCATGGCTCTGCCTCCTCCTCCTCCTCCTCCTCCTCCTCCTCCTCCTCCTCCTCCTCCTCCTCCTCCTCCCCCTCCCGCTGCCCCTCCTCCTCCTCCTCCTCCTCCTCCTCTCATCCCCTCCTCCTCCTCCTCCTCCTCCTCCTCCTCCTCCTCTCCTCCTCTCCACTCCTCCTCCTCCTCCTCCTCCTCCTCCTCCTCCTCCTCCTCTCCCTCTCCTCCTCCTCCTCCTCCTCGCTCCTCTCTCATCCTCCCCTCCTCCTCCCCCCTCCTCCCCCCCTCCTCGCCTCCTCCTCCTCCTCCTCTCTCCCCTCCCTCCTCCTCCTCCTCCTCCTACTCCTCCTCCTCCTCCCCTCCTCCTCCTCCTCCTCCTCCTTCCTCCTCCTCCGCCTCCTCCCTCCTCCTCCTCCTACTCCTCCTCCTCACTCCGCCTCCTCCCCCTACCCTCCTCCTCCTCCTCCTCCTCCTCCTCCTCCTCCTCGTCCTCCTCCTCCTCCTCCTGCTCCGCTGTTCTTCTCGCTTCGTTCCCCCCGCGCGCCGCAGGGCCCGGGGCGGCGGCGCCGCGGCGGCCCGCCTTCGCCGACGCCGAGGCTTTGGCCCGTGAGCGCGCTGACCCGTCAGGTCAGGGCAGGGCTCGCGCCTGCTAGGGAAGGAAGGCTGCCACGGAGGCGAACAGGGCGGTCAGGGCGAAGCAAGGCTGCCACGGAGGCGGAGCAAGGCTGGCAGAGGCAGCTCGCATCTGGCGGCGTGCCGCCACGATGGCCCACGCCTGCCCGCCGGCGCTCACTCCCGAGGATGGGGCGGCTGCTCTTCGGCGGCGCGGCGCCCGCGGCTGGACCCGAGGGCAGCAGCTCCCCGACGCTGCGGCTGCTGCGCTCGTCCTGGCGGGCGACACGGCAGCTCGCACCTGAGCTCTCGAAGGTGCGCGACGCGGTGCCTTTGCGGCCAGCTGGTGGGGCCCTGCTAACCGGCGGGCTCGGAGGGTGATCTGTCGTCCGACCCCCCTCCTCGGCCGCGGGTTCTGGCACGGTCGAGGTCGTGGATGGCTGTTGCCGTCGACCTCAGGAGCTCGGGGGCGGACGCGCGTGAGGAGCTCAAAGTCTCGAGGGAGGAGGAAGCGGAGGTGAAGGAGGAGAAGGAGGAGGATGAGGCGGAGAAGGCAGAGGAGGAGGAGACGGAGGAGGAGGAGGAGGAGGAGGAGGAGGAGGAGGAGGAGGCGACAGAGATCCAGCCAGCAGCGCAGCCTGCCGTGCGGGCCGAGGCCACGGGGCTCCATGGAAGCGCGCGGCCTGTGCGAAGCCCCGCATGCGCATGAGCCAGGCAGAGGACCCCCGTGCGTAGGTACCTGCACCCCGCCCGTTCCGACCCAGCGGGCGGCCAGCCCAGGGGACTTCCTCTTACCCCTGCCACATCTCCTCCTCCCTGCCTCTTCCTCCTCCTCCTCCTCCTCCTCCTCCACCTCCTCCTCCCTCCTCCTCCTCCCCTCTCCTTTTCCACTCCTCCTCCTCCTCCTCCTCCTCCTCCTCCTCCTCCTCCTCCTCCTCCTCCTCCTCTGCCTTCTCCACCTCATCCTCCTCTTTCTCCTCCTCCACCTCTGCTTCCTCCTCCCCCGAGACTTTGAGTTTCTCACGCGCGTCCGCCCCCGAGCTCCTGAGGTCGACGGCAACAGCCATCCACGGCCTCGACCGTGCCAAAACCCTGCTTCGCTCCGGCTCTTGGGTGGTTCATCCGGGGAGGCCCGATGGGGCGTCTCGGTGCGAGAGCGCGGATCCAGAAAAAGCCCGTCGCCGCTCCCGTGCGGGGCGCGCGCGGTCCCGGCTGCTGCTGGCTCGGGCGATGGGCCTCCGTTCTGGCGATGGGCCCGCTGCACGCCCTTTAGGAAGGAAGGGAGGGAGGGAGGGAGGGAGGAGGAGGAGGAGGAGGAGGAGGAGGAGAAAGAGAAGAAGGGGGGAGGAGGAGGAGGAGGAGGAGAGGAGGGAGGAGGAGGAGGAGGAGGAGGAGGAGAGAGGAGGACGAGAAGGAGGAAAAGGAGAAGGAGGAGGAGGAGGACGAGGAGGAGGACGAGGAGGAGGGAGGGGAGGAGAAGGAGGACGAGGAGGAGGATGCGGAGGAGGAGCAGGAGAAGGAGGAGGTTCGGAATCGGCGGACATCGATGGTGCACTCGTCGGCCCTGTTGCGCGGGATGCGCAGCTGCCGCTGCGCCGCCCGCGCCTGGGCAACGAGAACTGCGCTACTGGAGCAGGCAAAGAGATTCACAACGACACGCGATTCAACATCTTTCGCTCCCTGGTAGCACGTGCTTCCCACAAGCCAGTTTGATGGGCCCAAGGCTCGGGCCCCTCGATGGCGAGCGCGGGAGCTGCACCCATGGTACGGGTCGAGTGGCTCCCTTCGGGGGGAGTGGCGATCCTGCCCAACCTGCCAGGCGTGCCCCGCGGACGCAGCTCGACGCGTCTCTGCAGAGTCGGTTGGTCGTTCCCCTCCTCCTCCTCCTCCGCCCAGCTCCCCCCTTCTCCCACGTAGATCTAGCCCCTTCCTCTCGCGCACCCACTGAGGCGCTGTCCTCCCGCGATGTCTTGCCCACGCCCCCCCCCCCTCCTCCAGGGCCTGCTGTTGGGGACCGCCGCGCACCACGCGGGCATGCTCCCCGCGCAGCGGGCTCTGGTCGAGAGGCCTAGCCCTCTGCCCCCCCCTCCGTCCCCTCTGCCCTCTTCCCCTTGGCTTCCACCCCCCGTACGTGTCCTGCCCTCCTCCGCTTGCCCCCCCCCCCCTTCCCTCCCCCCTCCCTCGCCACACCACCCTCTGCCCTCTCTCTCTTTCTTCCCCTCACCCCCCTCTGCCTCGGTCCCGCGCCCCCCCCTGCCCACCCCCCGACCACCCCCGGCCCAGCCTCCACGCCCACCCTCTCGTGCATCCCGCACACTTCGCCCTCCCTGTTCCCCGCCAATCCCTCCCCCCTGTGTCCGCCAACTCCCCAGCCCACCTCCCCTCCTCCTCTCTCCCCCCCTTCCGTTTCCTCATCCATTCTTTTTCCCTCTACATGACTTCTTTTTGTCGCACCCCCAGACGTGTCGGTAGGCCGGGCCATGCGATTCGCTGGATCTTTCCGCAACACTTAGAGCACTGAAGCTTGACACGTGCAACAGTTACACGGATGGAGTGTGGGGGGTCAAGTTATGGTTCTCGCACTAGCGCCGCGCACATTCGTTCCACGACAGTGTAGACGCTACGCCAATGAAGAATGGCGCTGCGCACATTCGTCCTAAACGTTTCAAGTTGGTGTTGTCGTTTCAGCGCCGCGCACATTCGTAGCACAAGGTTGCTGATGGAGGGCGGGTCCTTTTCAAAATGGGGGCTCGCGCTTGAGACTTCTTCGAAGCTCATTGCCAGGGGTGCAACCTTGTGCAACAGTTACACAGGTGGTGTGCGTTGTTATTTAACATGTGGGTCCCGCTGGACACCTCTTTGAGCTGTGTGATCTTGCATTCCTTATTTCGCCCCAGAATCATGCAAGACAGGTCCTTTCTAAAAACGGAGCTCTCGCCTGAATGTCAGGCCCACGCGTGTTGGTGTTTCAAGGGTGCGCTTTTATGGTCGTGAGAAAGAAGGCGAGCAGGAACTTACGAGGACGGGACTGGGGATGGGAGGGTGTATTGCAGCATCGTTGATGGTTTTGCTGGTGCATCTGATCCTCTTCCTCCTCCTCATCATCGTTGCTCTTATGTTTGCATCCACGCTACCTCCTCCTTCATGTCATGTTCGTCCCCGCACCTTCCTGATTCAACTGATGTCCGTCCTGTATATCCTGCCTCCGTCGCGCTTTCTCCCTCCATCCGATGTCTTCATACCGTGTCTCGGCCATCCTTCGTGTCTCTTTCCTCTCGGCCTCTCCTCCCATCTTGCCGTTCCTTATCATTTCTCCTCTTCCTCATTCACCTTCTCTCCCTCGCCTCCATCCTCCTTGACATTATTGTCCTGATCCTGTTCCCGGCAGGTGTGTGTGTGTGTGTGCGTGTGCGTATACGAGGCACGATGACTGTGCGAAGCACGGCCTCTCAACCCAACCGGCAGTTTGGCTCACCCCAAGCAAAGACAAGGGGCCGACGAGTTCTCCCAAGAACTTCTGCCCTGTCCGAGAGAATGCCCAGCGCGGGCGGTCGGAAGCCGAGCGTGCCGCCCGCCTCGACGCCGAGGTGGATGCGACCACATGGCGGCCACGGAGTCGCCGAGATTTCTGTGTAGCGACCAGCCAGGAGGGAAAAAAAAAACACAGACACAATGAATCGTCGATTTTATCAAAACATAGGAAGATTTGAGAAGTGGGGGGGAAGACAAGAGCCCAGAAAATGTGGGGAACAGGTTGGGGAATCCTGTTACTTGTGTCTACTTATTTGTGTGTCCCAGGGTCCCTTCACACATGGCGAACACGGAGTTGCCGAGATTTCTTTGTGTATCGACCAGACGATCACCAAATGTTATTTGTGTGACGCTGGGTGCACGCAGACGGTGACGATGACCGAGGGCGTAGGAATCGTAGAAATAGAGCACGGCTCCTCCGACGTCATGTCACGCTCAGCCAGGCGGAAGAATCACACCAACGTAGGCCGAACTGTGATGGCATGCGGACGATGCTCAAGAGGGCACACCACCGAAGAGGAGCGCACCGTTGAGGCAGAACTCGCCATCAGAGGCGCTTACCCTGCTCCCTTCCTGCTCCTCTCTCTCTCTCTCTCTCCCTATCTCTCTGACTCTCTCTCTCTCTCTCTCTCTCTCCCTCTCTCTATACCTCTCTCTCTCCATTGTCCTGCATCCCGTCCTCCCCTTCGTCTCCCTCTCCGGTCCCTCCTCCTCCTCCTCCTCCTTCTCCTCTTCCTCCTCCTCCTCCTCCTCCTCCTCCTCCTCCTCCTCCTCCTCCTCCCCGGCGCGCCCGACGGAAGCGGAGGGTCTCCCTTCTTGCGGGGAGCTCGCGTCGGCCTCTTCCCCCTGTGCTGCCTGCGCCCGCCGAGCCGTGGCCACGCCCAGCATGGGGCGCGCGCTGCCGTGGGGGGCCTCTGTGAAGACAGGGCCGTCGACAGCAAGAGAGTTCGGACGAACGCTATGACGGATGATCGGGCCGGGCGAAAGGGGGGGATTGGGAAAGGGGGGGTTACGAAATTTGCTGCATGCAGCTGGTTTCGGCCTCACCGAGGGGCCCATTCCTCGACACATGGCCGCCTCCGCGCTGCCGTGGAGGGCCTCTGTGAAGACAGGGCCGTCGACAGCAAGAGAGGCCGGAGGAACGCTGTAGTGGGTCTAGGCCTCCTAGATGGGGTCGGAGTAGATGGGGTCGGAGGATCGCGCCGCATCGCCGATGCATCGCCGATGCGGCTCGATGCGGAGCCCGATGACGTCGCCGATGCGTCGCCGACGTCGCCGATGCATCGCCGGTGCATCGCCGATGCATCGCCGATGCATCGGCGATGCATTGGCGATGCGGCGAGATCCTCCGACCCCATCTACTCGGACCCCATCTAGGAGGCCTCTAGTGGGGGCGCGTGCCAAGAAGCCAGTTGGATTCTGCCAGGGTGCCCTGGGTTTCTTGGACTTCGATGGGTCCCCAATAGCCCCTGGATGAGTTTCGATCGACAAATTTGGGTTTTCATTAAACAAATCGCGGATTTCAGGGTTGGGTGTCTTGCGGAGGTTTCTTGTGGCCGAGGCCCCACTGTATGACGGATGAGGAGACGTGAAGGCTAGGATGAAGTCGGGCCTGTCGCCCTACAGAGGGATTTGAGACAACATTTAAAAATAGTCAAACCATGCACCAAAATGGTAAACAAATATTCGAATATTCAAAGAACATCGTCGAACAGAAGGATTTGAGACAACATAAAAACATAATCGAACAATGCACCAAATTGGGCAACAAACATTCAAAGAAAATCGTCCAGGCATAATTTTGTTGGATGATGTTTGAGTATTCCTCCTGTAGAGGGACGGGCCCGACTGAAGGCTAGGAGGTGGCCAGGAACCGAGAGCGTGGGGGGGCAGCACCAGTTTCAGATCGGTGCCCGCCACTTGGGCAGGCCGCTGGCGTCCCTGCACGCCTGACCACTGCGTTGGTCGGCCGAGCAGGTGTCTAGACATAAGCCACCTCTTGGACTGAGTGCGAACCCAGATGTCCAAATACGACCATCACGGACCGATGTTCTGTGATCATATTGAAGAAGCGGAGGCAAGCAGACATTGTATTCTGACATGGTGGCATATATGGTGTTGAGCTTGTACCTGTCCTGTTTCACGAACAGGTGGAATACTGTCTCACCGGAAATTGATTCTGGCCCCGCAAGGGAAGGGTGTACAGTGGAGACCCGGGCCAAGAAACATCCTGCTTGCCTCCAGGGTGCCCTGGGTTTCTTCGGTTTCGATGGGTTTCCGGTGGAAAGCGTGACGCTCCCACACCAGCAATCGATAAACGTCCTGGGGTCTCGGGGCTGGGTTTCTTGTGGGAGGTTTCTTGAGGACTGGCCTCAACTGTACCACCACGCTCTCCCAGCCGTGGCCCCCCGAGGGGCCGCACCCTGGTGGCCAGCCACGCCTGCACTGCACGCAGAACCAAAGCCAGCAGTGGCACACCTGCGCGCTGGCCGCACCCCTCCGATACGCAAGGGCTCCCACGAGGGCGCGAAGTTATTCGCGCTTCGCGCTTCGCGGTCCTCGTTCCTTCTCCCCCTCCTCCTCGTCCTCCTCTTCTCCCTCTGGGGGGGCGGCGCGAGAGCGCGAAGTTATTCGCGCTTCGCGCTTCGCGGAGCGCGAAGCGCGAAGTTGGGAGCCCTAGGATACGCCAAAGGCGCGGAGCGCAGCGGCGGGGCGCGCACGCGGAAAGCTCCAGCGGCACCGCAACGGGTACTCACGAATGGGTACTTTGGAAGGTTGCCGAACGTCGCCACCTTGGGACCTCTCTCTGGGATTGCAGCGTGGCCCACATCGGCCTCTTTCTGGCACTGTAGCATTGCCCACTTCGGGGAGGGTTGGGTTCGCCGGGTCACTGGCCACCAAGTGCTCGTTGGTGGAGTCCCCGTTCGAGGGGCGCCGAAAAGCTGGCTGCACGGAGCTGGAGGGGGAGGCGACCCCTAAGTCTAAAGGGGCCCAGGGACACACACACACACAGATTCACAAATCTAATTTCTCTTCAGATTGTCCCATATTTTCTGGGTGTTCGTTCTCACCCCCCGCTTCCCATGTTTTCCCCGTATGTTCCTGGGAGCCGACGATGACTTGTGTGTGTAAGTGTGTGTATGTGTGTGTAAGTGTGTGTAAGCGTGTGTAAGTGTGTGTAAGTGTGTGTAAGTGTGTGTAAGTGTGTAAGTGTGTAAGCGTGTAAGTGTGTAAGTGTGTAAGTGTGTAAGTGTGCAAGTGTGTAAGTGTGTAAGTGTGTGTGTGTGTGTGTGTGTGTGTGTGTGTGTGTGTGTGTGTGTGTGTGTGTGTGTGTGTGTGTGTGTGTGTGTGTGTGAGTGTGTGTGTGAGTGTGCGTGTGCGTGTGCGTGTGCGTGTGCGTG